CTAGACTCATCTTCTTGGTATGGATCTGCCCAGCAGTCACGGGTTGTGTCTGACCCAGGTTGTTCTCACCAGGCCCTGGTTGTTCTCACCAGATCATGTCCTGTCCCAGACTTGTGGATGGACTTCCCAGCTTTGCCTTGGACCTGCCTTACTGCTATGAGCTTGCATAGAAGTGTCAACTGAAACTGGCAGTTCTCTCCAAGCCTGTTCTGTTCCCCTTGCTGGAGTGCTGGCTGGTAAGATCCATCGCCCAGGGGCTGTGTGATTACACTTGCATCCCTCTTCCTTAGGGGGCTGGCAACCCATGCTGCTCCCTAACATTTGCTTCCTCTCCTTAAACCTGCACCCATTTTTCCTGATACAGAGCATAAGAATGTTGCAATTTGATCTCCTCTAGACTCATTATTTTTTACAACTCACTCAGTTATTTTATCTACTCTCAATTTGCTAAAGATTAAAGAAAGTAATTTCTTCCTTGGCAATGCAAGTTATTGACTCCTCAAAACCCCTGTATTTCTTCCTTCCCAAGTGCAGGGTCAGGGACTTTGTTGTTTGCCTCTCAAACATCATTCAATCTGATACAGCAGCTATGAGGTAGGTAAGTATTGTTGCCATCCACTTCACAGGAAAAAGATACAACCAGACTTCGTAGCAGACTTTAAAACCTTTATTTCAGTCATGGGCTGAATCAAAGAGGAGCTCTGGCAGAATGAGGGGGAAAAAGTAGTTTTCTTGCATCCCATCTTCTCTTGTGCCTCAAGCACAAGGGCCATCCTTTCCTTGCTACAGACGTGTCCCTTACACATGATATAAACCCTTCTTTTTTTTTTTTTTTTTGGAGCTTACTCCTTGGTAAACTATTTGCACTCCAGTAAGCTTTGAAGTTGACCACACATAGATTAAATATGCAGTCTGGCAAAATATTGATTTCATCTTTGTAGGCAGAACAGTATAATAGTGTCTCTTTTTTTAGTCTTTTTTTTTTTTCTTTCTTTTCTCGGAGTTGTTATGGCCTAGGGTCTCTGAGAGACTAACTAGGCTCTCTGAGCAGTGATTTGTGAAAAATTTATGAAAATTTCCAGGTTTATTGATGATAAGGTCTGGTAGTTCCTGTTTTGGAAAAATAAAATATTGCTGTCTTCAAGGTATTCAAAGTTGATATAAACATAGAAAGCTACAACCTTCAATAAATTGTTAACAAGGGACTAAAATCACATGGAATTACACTGCTTCTGTATCATAAGTTAGTGCAATATTTACTTAGGAACTGTGGATCCCCACAAAAACTTAATGCAGTTTTGTTACAACTTTATACAGCAAATTCCTCAAGTTGCAAAGAAGCAGAAGCATAGTACTTTACAATTCTCTTTACTTGGAGTTGGTGGAATGAAATGTTTGCTGCTTAGCTCTAAAACTGCTTGTGTGGCTGGTGATAACACTTTCCAGGACTGCAAGCATCTGCTAAAACAAAATATGCATCATTTTGTATTCTGAGTTTCACAAATTTCATCCAAAATCTGAATGTTTGCAACAGGAATTTACAGCTCTAGGACTGGAGGTGAGGCTTTGCGAATTCTGACTTTGGACCCAAATCCAAATCAGAAGATTCTGTACTTAAAGTTATTTGAAAGAAATTAATAACTTCCGTAGAAAGAAAACCAGAAGTTTCCATTCCATTATATAATTAGAGCATTCATAAAGGAAAAAATGAACCTGAGGATGGTGAAAAGAAAAAGTATTGAAAGAGGAAACAAAGATTGGGAAATATAGTACTAATACCCCTAGTCCAGGCACAAGATAGCACATGTCAGAATAGTGGTTAGAGCATTGAAAGGAGAAAAAAACCTATTACCTTCTAGAAAAAAAATGTAAACCTTGTAAATGCTTATAAATTTCCTAATATCTTGCTGGGGTTATAGGAAAGAATCACCTTTCTTTTGGCAAAATCTCCACAACAGATGCATTTGGAAACTATCAAATATGTGATAATAGCAGTGAAGGAAAAACTTTTTCAAGTTCTTTGGCACAAAATTCTAGTAAGGTGTGTCTTTTGGGAGGTTAATCAGTAGTTCAGTGAGCTCTGAAAGCCACAGAGAACTTGGTTTCTAGCAGATGAGCCAGGACATTTCAAAGAAACTTCCCAGTGGCTGAATTTAAATACGTGTTACTCGGAAAAAAAAAACCCCAAGCACATGCAATTGTATTCTTCAGTTGCAGAGTTCATGAATGAGTTCTGAAGGAATGGAGTCAGAGCAAATCAGAAGACAGTCTGAAGTGTAATTTTTATAATTGTCAGCTTTATGCCCACCATTGAAGCCTATCTATAGTTGTTAACTTATTTTAATAATATTTAATGTGCATTTTTTTATCTTGGTTCTTATGTTAATAATGGTCTAATTTGACTGAAGAGTATTTGGGTAAATCATGTTTTCTGCTCAGAGTAGCTGCATAATGTTAAAATACTCTTTTTTTAGATTAAAAGAATGACTAGAATTGGTTTCAGCAGAAAATCAAGAAAACATCAGAAAGGCAAATCTAAAACTAAAAATGTTCTTGTTGTACAGAAGAGACAGTATGGGGTAGAAGCATATGACACATATTTGCTTGGAAAATACAGTGCTGGGAGCTAAGGAAAATATTACTTTTTGTCAGTAGCAAATGATAGTTTTAGTGAACTTTCATAGTAGTTTAAAGGATTTTGAACATTAGCTAAACTACGATCAAGAGAGGTGTGTTTTGTTTTGGTATCACTGATTTGTTTCTGAAAAAGGGTTTTCCTTTCTATTGAGAAAAACTTGTAAGGAGCAGTTAAGGGCATTGTTGGAGCTAAAATAACAATAATTCATTTTTACTAGTAAACTAGCAGAAAAAAGGGTCAGTACTGATCATTTTTGTCAGTGAATACATTTTCACAGAATAAACTTAAAAACTAGTAACATCACAAAAAGATAAAAGGTTTTAATTCAAATCTTGGTTGGCTGACCTTCTGACTTCCTTCTTTAGGACAAACTATTTTTTTTAATAAGAAGTTACTTATATGTCCACTTTGTTTTAATTGTAAAAGGTTATAATGTAAAAATGTGTGTGATTTTAAAGCATGGATAAAAGGGATAAAATTATGTAGAGGCCATGGAAAAAGTAATTAAGGCAGCTGTTGTAGTACTGATTGTCAGGAAATGACCCATACAGCGGGTCATCGGAAAGTATCTGCATATGATATACAGGCTTCTATATTTTCATGTTTAATACCATATATTTCCATCTTCTATTTTCTGTGTTTGCATTTGAGATACCTGTTTTACACTGTGATTTACTTCTCCTATTTCTGTTATTAAAAACAAATTAAATAGATAATCAGTGCCATGAATGTGATCATAATTTTATTAACTTAAAATTGGTGTGCCACTCTGTTCATTTCAGTCTGTAATCATGTTACAGACTAAAATTATTTTTGCTTATCTATTAGGAATAGTAATGTGAAACTGGTTTTGCAGTCATGTGGCTGGAGGAAAACCATCAATGATTAAGACAGAAAACCTTGAAGTAGTTATATGAAACAAAACCCCTAAATCGGTAAGCCAGATTGCTTTGTATGTTATCTGGCTTCTTTGTGCTATTAGGCAGCTCAAAGAGGACAGTCTTGCCACCATTAAAAAAAATAGGTGCAAAAATCTGTTGGTACATGGTTGCATGTGTCACCTTTAAGCAAACCATACCAACTGCTGCTCCATGGTCTAAGAGAGGGGGAGGGAAGAGGGGAGTTCATTAAGCTTTATCAGTCCCTAACTGTTGTAAGCTAAGCTCTGCTGATTCATGCTAGGACCAACTGACAGTGGTTTCAAATCAGTACTTGAGAATGTGTAAGATTTCCTTGATGAGTCTTTTCCTTTTATAGAGTCTCAAACATCACCTTGGCTGCAACAAAGCTTTTGGTCTTAACAGCCTGGTAAATATAAGAGAATTATCCATCCCCATTATGCAAAGTGGGAGCCCACTGGGAACTTTTCACCACACATAATAAGACTTCTTGCATAGTATAGCCATTGATAGTAGATTATGGTCATAAAGGAATAGTGCCTTGATGAGATTTTAGGCAAAATTGAAAAAAATATGTGGGTTCATATATCAATCGCCGAGATCGTTACTTGTCATTACAGTGATAAAAATAGTCCATCTGCTTCCTTCTCACTGAATCTCAGTTGACTAGTTTGCCTTTTTCTCAACTTCTCACAGGTGAGGAATGATCTGACTGGCGTTCTTTATGGTGAAGACATCGAGATTTCAGATACTGAGAGTTTTTCCGATGATCCCTGCACAAGTGTAAAGAAGCTTAAGGTATGTGCTGCTATTTGAGGAATAAAGAGAAAGTGGTAATTTTTTTTCCTATGAAGAGGGTTAATGAAACAAAATTTGTGTTAGAATGACATATTATTATATTTCATTGCATAATAAGATCAAAAAAATGGCATTTTGAAGGCCTAGTCCTGCTTAAGTCAGTGAAGGTCTATGTGGATAGTAAATATTTTTAATAGTTTCCAATAGTGACAATAAGTAACGAAAGTTGTTTCTGGTTTCATATTTGTACCTAAAGCCCCAGTCTTAGTGATATAAATGTGAAAACTTGAGACTTGGAACCAGAACCATTTTAAGGTAAATTATCATGTAGCAAAATCATTGAGCCTCTTTCCATTAACTTCATTACACATTTTAGATTGAATTCTTTGCTTACATCATCTGCATTATTTCATATGAATTATAGGGGGGGGAAAAAAGGAAAAAAATTAATAGCAGAATAATTTACCATCCTTTTCTTATTTATAATGATTTATTAGACTCCTGGCATCTCATAAAATTAAAACTATATTTTAGCATTACCATGCAGTGCAACCAGGAATAAATTAGACATGGAAGATATGAATCTGAAACTGCATATGACCATGAAAAAAAGTGATTGAACAGCAGGAGAAAGCACTTTTAAATGGTGATGGTCAAATCATTGCTAGCAACAAGTATATTTGACACACGATCAAAGCCATGATCTTTCAAATACTTTAATATCTGTAAAACAGGTTACAAAAATATTAATAAATTGTTATTAAAATCAAACAAAATTAAAGCAAGTGTATTGATCTGTGTAAGACTAGACTACTAAAGCTAGCTAGAAAAGTTATGGAGTAGGGTAAATTAAGTGGGCTTTATTATTCCCACAATCTAGAGATACAAGCTGGAAAGTTGAAAGTATTAATAGGTAAAGTTTATCTTCATAAGAAACCATTTGTGTCTGCCTAATCTGAGCCAGTTTGCATTTCTTATGTGGGGTTGAAGAGACTCCAGTATGTGTTATCAATAAAGTCCACATTTTTGAATGAAGGAAGAAGTGTTTTAACCAATAGATGATGTAAGAACAAGAAAAATGCATGTAATCTTTTATATTTAGGCCGAAAGTTAGAAGAAGAAGTGTGATTCTAGCTTTCCTGTACATCAGCAGTACACTGAGTTGTTTTATAGGGAAGACCCGAAGACTCAGCTAACAGTATATTAGTTATCTCTTGATTTCTTCTTCAAAACAAATTAGTAAAAAAATAAATAAGAAATTATTGAGACAATTGCTTTTTCCTGACTGAAATATAAGGTTAGTTGTCATTAGGTACACATAGACATTAGGTTAGACATAGAACATAGCTATCCAATTCTAAATATGTTCATTTTTTTCTTTAAGATGTAAACGTCATATAGGTAAACTGGTATCTGCTTATCTGAAATACCATTTATTTTCATAAACACAGTTTAAATTAATGAAATTAATGATTATGTGATGGAAAGTAGAAAAATATGGTATGATTTGTAGAAATATATTTTTCCCAGTAACAGCTTAGTTTCTACTGCATTGACTTCAGCGTCTTTTAATCACAGTTGAAAGGTAAATTTAGGCTTATGGATATCTGAAAACTCATTTTTGTGTTTACAGAAAGGGATTTTGAAGGTTATGCATTCGTACATCAACTTAAAGGCTTAAAAATTCTAAGCATGCACAGACAAATTGTACCAGCAATAACACTTCTGCTTTCAACTTTTTTGTGTCTTGCATGCAGGACAAAAAAATTGCAATATATGACTTCCAGTTCAATGAAATAGTTTCCATCTGATTTCCCAAGTACAATAGGTTTTTTGAATACTGATTGAACATGATCTCTCATTCTAACAGTCAAGTTTAATTAATTTTAAAATTTTGCGCCTTGAACAAGTTTGGAAGTGGCACCAGTCTCAGTAAGTGACATGTAAACTAACAGGCATCAACAAGTTATGCTGTCATGTTGCGATGGTGGGAGCTGACATCCTCTAGTTCACCTTCACCATCAGTGATTCCGTAGCTAAGGTCTGAGGCTCATCTGTCATGCTTCAAGTGGACTTCCAGGCATTTAGAAGGCAGAACACGTGGATACCTCTATTTTCAAAGTTACCCAGCTTTGTGTAGATTTATTGATAACTTCTTGACTGTCAGATACATGGTAGAGAATAAGACAGAGTATCTGAGCTGTTCAATCTAGATATTTAATAAAGAGCCTGCCAAGACATTGACTTTTCCTGGCATATGGGAGATTGTAGCAATCCTTCTCTGGAAAGCTGGACAATACAACATAGTGGTATTATTCATTAGAAATGAGACAGATTAAAATCTGAGCAAAGAGAAGCTCTTCAGGGTGAAAAAAATAGCTGCCTATTCCAGCATAATGTGCATAACTCAAAAACTCTGAAAAGGCTAAAAAGTGTCTCATGTCTGAGGCTGTTAGAAATGGCAGTGGAGGAGATATGTTGTTCTTCATCCCCCAGTGGAGCATCTTAGAGGTGTTGATCCTCACTGTTTTAAGGGTTTATAATACTCGGCTACTGGTAGTACCAAGGACACTTTATATTTATTAGCCAAATAATATCCTCACCTATATGAAAGAAAGGAGTAAAAGAGTCGTTAAATTTTGAGGCTGTGCTATTGTCTTTATTTTTAAAGCACGTTTTTATGCAGAGTCTGCCACAACTGTGGGTAAATGGAATGTATATTTTCTTGTTTGAACTTTACTCCATATGGGAACATATGTGTTTGTTACTGAGGGGCAAAGCTTAAAGGCTGATATTGCTACTCTAATCTTTGAGAAGAGTAAATATGACAGCTCACCATCTGGCAAATGGTCTAAACATTGGTCTTTTTATATAAGTGCAGTTTTGGGAGTTGCCTTCCCCCTGGGATGTTTTTAATCATCTTGTAGATCACCTGCCTAGTTCCATGAATTAAAAACTCTTCTGTCAAATATGTTTTAGCTCCATGCAAGCAATTTACAACTCTCTGAGAAAGAGACTTGGCACTCGCTGGGATCCAGTGGGTGACTTCTTTGATCCCTACAAGAGAGTTTCACCGTGTTGACTTGTATCAGCCCATGAGGGTTGATGTAAAGGAAGAATATATCCTTGACAGGAGATCATATTGGTTTATAGTCAGTTATGAATGAAAGGGAAAAATAAGTTTTGCCCAGAAAGCAGCTGATGTATTCTTTGTATGAGACCATAATGTGGGCATATACTTTGACCCACAAGCTGACCTTAACCCAGCTCTGATACACTTCTGTGCAGACTTTATTATTTGTCCAGATAAAGCATCTCCAGGGGACTTGAACTACATACAACTGAATGAATTTGTAGCTTCAATGTATCTTATGCACGATGGAGACAGCATACCCAAGCCTGGCATCAAATGGGTCTAGGTTTATTTGTAATCTTGAATGCAATTCTTCAGGAACAAATTTGGGGAAAATGTAGAAGGGATTGCAAAAAGCAGAGTTAAGAGAAAGAGGTTCAGAGGAGTTCATCACTGCACAGAGGAAGAATGTTATACATGGAAGAGGAAGAGCTCTTGTATATAGACTTTCCTGAATTAATTCCTTCTACCTGTGTTCTAACACACAATTCTTTAGTTACGTGATTTCTTACTAAATTATCTGATAATCAGGTGCAAGCAAAGGCTTAAGGAGTGGAACCACACACTACAGAGACTTCAATCTAAAGGATTTTGCACAGCCAGTGGGCAGCATTGCCGCATGTGCACTATGGGATTATTCTCTACACCCTGACTACAGTCTTTGATACTCAAAAACTATGAGACCACATAGTTTACACCTTTTAGGTTTGTTTTTTTTTACATTGGTTGTCATCATGTTGTAAAATGGAAAGGAATTTCTTCAGTTTTAAGTTTAATAATTAGGTACTGTGCTGTTTATTTTGTAATCACACTCTGCTCTTTTATTTTTTTTTTCCAAATACCAAATCTATATTTTTATGTTCAGAGCAATCAAGTGATTCAGACTTGGGGTTCCAAGTGTGACAGAACTATTTTTAAAATGTGAAAAATAGAAATAGTACATGAGGTGGGTTTTTTCTGCATAATTCCTAGATCTATTTATTGTCCTTACAAAAACTGTAATATTATTGCTGTAATTTGTGTAATTTGTTTGCTTAGTTTCATATGACCTTGTTAGATTTGTTTAAAAAGAATTTAATCCACTTGAATAAGATTTACATTACTTTATCAATCTGTGGCTAAATATAAAAATGAAGCAAAGCAGGCTTACTGAAAATGCACAGGTTCAGGATGAGCAAAGCAAATTACATTATTTCTGACTTTAACCATGCTAAGAGTGATAATAATTTCATGCATTCAATTGCAGAAGCAATATCTTCTTTCACTGCCCATCATTTTCTGCTGAATGGGAAATAAACATTGGAATTATCTAAACTAAAAATCTTTGATAAATTGATTTAATTAAAACTGAAATGTTTTTCGCCAGTGAAATTCAGACTGAATCATATGTTGGTTTTTTCCTTGGAGAGGGAAAGAGCTATTAGTAATTCTAACCAGGTGTTTCATGAAAGAAATGAAAAATTTGATATGCTTAAGCTTTTGCCAAGAACTCTGCCTTTGTGTGAAAGAAAAGGTAATTTGAAGTCATAAAAAGCTATCTGTTCTGTATTTTATAGATGTTAGAAGTAATTTTTCATATGAGGAAAAGGTTAGCCCTGCTTTTTCCTGGAGAAATATTTTCCTGCTTATGCTTCTGAATTTAGGAATACTTTCTAAATATGTTTCTAAATATGAAAGTAAAATGTCATCTTTGGACTTCAGTCATAGATTCTTAAAATGTGATGATTTTTTTTTTTTAATGTGTGGAGTTGACAGGGAGGAGAGGAGGGATTGACAATGTGTTATAGTGACTGTAGAGAAGATGCTGTATAATTAAAACCTTTAAAAATTATTAAAGCAGGCATAATATCAAGGCATTTTACCTCACAAATCTAGTTCCTTAATTTTACAGCATTTTTTCATGTGAACAATGAAAAGTCTAAGTCTTCAGCTGGTTTTAATTTGCAAAATTGTAGAAGAAATCTTGCAAGGAATTGAAAGAATATTTGATATTTTAGTGTTATTGGATAGTAATATATGACAAGTAATGTTTGACTGTAATATCACAGTTTTATTCTCATTAATGCTATTACTTAATCATTTTTTTCAAGTACCTAAACTGCTTTCTTTTGCAGTGCTTCAAGTTCTTGAACTTTTAGAAAGTTAACTAGTTCCTTATTAATTCTGCTGTCTGCAACTGTAGTCTGTGCTAACTCTCTACATGATCTGACTGGCCAATTGAAGTGGTATCTGGAAAGTGACTGTATTTAACTGCCACATATTTTATTCAATCTGCAGGGTAATGATGTTCGGATAATCCTTGGCCAGTTTGATGAGGAAATGGCTGTGAAAGTTTTCTGCTGTGTAAGTAAATATATTTAATTGCATTATCAGAATAAAGAATGTGCTACATTTGAATAAAAAATAACTTGAGCGTAAACATTTCTTCATGGAGTTTGATTCTGTGAAGGTTTATATTCTTAAGAAAGGTTAGACATGCTTAGCTCCATTTCCCTTTCAATGAAGTACTTTGTACTTCAGTGGAATTTAGGCATAGACTGCAAGGTTAGCTTCTTCTTATTGCTTTCATGTTGTGGAATTAAATGCCAAATCGAACTTGAGCATTTTTCTTCACATCAGATCCAGGGAAATACTCGTATATGTAGAGGCAGATACAGAGAACTGCAAGATTTGAATCATGTCTAAGAGTTGTGTTGTGGTGGCAATGTCTGTGTGTATGCAGTTTTGCATGTTATGCTTTGAAAGAATAAGAAATTCAAGCCAGTTCCTATATGTTGGAACTCAGCAACACTAATAATTCCTGCTACTGAAAATGTTGCTACTTGTAGAGTTACCAGTCCTGCCTGACTACTGTACATTTTAAATATATTATATGAAAACAAATTAAGTACTTTGTAAATAATATTTTTTTAATTAAAATCATATGGTAACACCAGCAAATATAAAATTCCCTATCCTCACCATTTTTTTGTGTGTGCGAATGTGCTGCAAACATGCACACTGGCATTGAAAGTAGCAGGATTAAAATCTAGATCTATATTTGTACCTGCCTAAAAAAAAAAATCCCAAAGAGGCAGATTTTAATGACCTAAATTTTGTATTGGTATTGAACTCTTAGTCTAAACAGATTAATCCTGTATGATCCAAGAACACAATAAATATAATGGAAAAGCGATAATGATGGCATCTAAATTTCAGAGGGTGTTTTTTAGTGTTCATTTAGGGAGACAGTTACCTATCCAAGGAAAGAAAGGAAAGGCAGAAATTCAAAATCTAAGTGCTATGTGTGCCTCAGATGCATTTTGGCTTCTACTCAGCAGCTGTCCCAGTTGGTGGTAAAATTTGGAAAGGAGATTTTAGAGTATATTTGGAAGGAACAAAATCTGTTTTCATCCAAAAGGAAATAGAAAGTATTCTTTTATTTTTCATTCTTCTCCTCTCTAGGTCTTTGTATATAGATCTTTTTGTTCTGGCATTTAAATTGGATTGACAGAGATAATCTGCCATTTTTTCATTCCTGAAAGAAAGAATAGTCCTTCTGCAGCCCAGCTCCTCTTCAAATCTCTTGGAGTTGGACTGCATTTCCCCAGCTGAGGTCCTGGTTAGAACTGGCTTGCTATCCAACATTAGCAAGAGATTGACCTCATTTATGCCACTGCCCCTTATTTCTAGTTACCTTCCTCTCCAATTCTTTTCCAAGTACCTGTGCATGTGAGGCCACTGAAGAAGTCCTAGAATCCTTTGGAGAAGCAGGCTGTCCTCTCATCTGCATTGCTCTAGTCTGAAGGATTTTAGGGAGAGAATGTCTCTTTCCCACAAATGCCAACCACAGCTTTCTATGGCTATGGGTTGGTACGACCATGGGATGTGTGCATTAACTGAGTGGTTTCAAGAGTGATGGGTGCTTCTAAAGTACATTAGTGTCAAAAATAAAAAGGTGGATTTTTCTGAAGCCTAGATAAATCTGAGAGATCTTGTATTTAGACTTGTATAAATGTGTTTATTTGAGAGTTTCAGAAGGAGACTAAATGCAGGAGAGGGCAGTGCAAAGTAGGTAATTTATATCTTAATGCACTACAATATGTCAGAAAGCTTGTTATTAGTCATAAAATATATTGTTGACTCATGCACTCCTACAGATAGATGTCTAAAAGCACAATCATTTTCAAGGTTTTTAACCCCTCTTTTCCAGGTTTATCTTTAGACAGGTTTCACTTGTGATTCCCTGTTATATTTTGCAGGGTGACTGGTGTCAGCCCGAGAAAGATTTTGAATTTGTTAAAGGAGGATGTTATTTCACTAGTGCAGGGTTTATTCTTTTTTTTTTTCTGATTGTGGTTATAACCTGAATATTACTTGCTAATGACTTATGTAGGTGGTAAAATCTTAAAAGTCTGCCTCACTTTTCTGCTTGGATTCAACAATTATATGCTGTGAGGTTTCCTCAGGACATCCATTTGAGTTTATATAGAATCATAGAATCATTTAGGTTGGAAAAGATCTGTAATATTATCAAGTACAACAATTAACCCAGCACTGCCAAGTCTACCACTAAACCATGTCCCTAAGTCCGACATCTTTTAAATACCTTCAGGCATGATGACCCAACCACCTCCCTGTTTCTTGATAGTCCTTTCAGTGAAGAAATCTTTCCTAATACCCAATCTATACCTCCTCTAGTGCAACTTCAGACCATTTCCTTTCAACCTATTGCTCGTTATTTGGAAGAGACTGACACCCACGTAATAAATATACTAAAACATTGTATAATTCAATGACAGACTTTAAAAATCAGACAGGACTGGTTCAAGCCAAGGTGAATGTTAGCAGGTTTTTCCTACAATTATTTAAATTTTTAGCTATTCATTTGATTCTATGGGAAATATTAACTTTGTAATGTCATTTTCACCTCAGTGGGATGAATGTGATATTTTTCATGGAATAGAAATTAGTCTTTTGCTCAAAACCTAATACTTCAGCAGTCAACAAATTACCAGTAATTGTTTTACTACACATTAGAAAGATCTCTTACAGAATTTTTTTTTGTTGTAAATAAGCATCTTTTTATGGATTCAAACATGAATTAAAAGTTTAAAAAGAAAACATAAAAATTCAATTTCACAAGGGCAAAAATTGTCAGTGACAGTGTCCTGGCTGTTTGACAGCAACTCAGAGCTTTGCAGCCTACTTAAGGCATGGGAGAAAAAGTCGGGAAGATATTTGTGGTTCTGGTGGTAAAAAGTATTTGTAAACCTTCCTCACCTTTCTCTTGTGTGTCAAAAAATCTTCCCCTTAGAAACTAAAACTTGTAAGAATTGGTCTGCATGCATACAAGACGGTTCAGGAAAGGTCCACATATTTCAAGTAATTGTATCTTTTAAGCGTCAAAATCATCTTCATTTAACAGAATGAACAGGGAAGAAAGGATGGGAAAAAGCATTATTTTGCTGTTAAAGTCTTCTGGAACCCAAACACTGAAATACCTGAATGCTATCAACTGTGCTGTCACTAGAAAAATGGCTGCCTGGTCATGGTACTCAGCCACAGAGGAGCTAATTTTCTTCCTTCGTTTGCTATCCCCAGCCTACCCTTCAAGCCCTGCCATGTCAGCATATCTATAACGATGAGCTGTCAGCTCACCAAGTGTTTGTTTTGGTTTTTGTTAAACCAAATTATTGCAGAAATGTGAAAGTGCAACCAGACTTTCAGTGCACCCATGTTGGGAATGATCCCTCATTTCCAGGGTGGAATTTCTACCTTTTTTTAAACATTCAGCTTTCACTTCATATCACAGGGCATTGATAGATTATGCAGGAAACAGTTCAAGTGCTTATGCAAACAGAAAATTTCCAACAGCTCTAATTTCAGAATAGTTCACAGCCAATTCTTTCTGGCAACACACAATTTGATACTTTAATCTCCATAGAGCAGAGGGAAGCTACATAAGTTTGTCCTTCTCTAAAAGCACTATTCTGTGTCAGTTAGTGTCCTAAGTGATTTGAAAACTGTCACATAAAGGACACTGTGTCACTGAAAGGTCTTGAATGACCTAATTGTGTAATGGAAGCTCTTTTATACCTAAGGAATTACTGCAGGATGGGATTGCTGTTTTCCACCCACGTGGATCTGGGATGCAGGGTTGCCGTAGCTGTGGCAAGAGTAGAGAAGGGCAGGGGGACAAAAGCAGATATGTTTCTGGAAGGGTAGAATTAATGAGTAAGAGAAAGACATTTCTGCAGATTCCAACTCAGCATATTCTATGATTCTGTGATTGTGGAATAAGTAAGTGTAGTGGGTTGACCTTGGCTGGATGCCAGATGCCCACTGAAGCTGCTCTCTCACTCACCTCTGCAACTGGACAGAGAAGAGAATATATAATGAAGGGTTCATGAGTTAAAATAAGGACCAGGACAGATCATTTACTGATCACCATCACAGGAAAACATATTCCAAGTGGGGATATTAATTAAATTTTTTACTAACAGAATCAGAGCAGAAGAATGAGAAGTAAAATAAATCTTAAAAACACCTTCTCACCTCTCCCTCCTTCCAAGTTCTTCCTCCTGCCCCCAGCTGGTGCAGAAAGACGTGGAATGGTGGTTATGATTAGTTGTTGTTTCTGCCACTGCTCAGATGGAGGAGTTCTTCCCCTGCTTCCCATGGGGTATCTCCCACGGGACACAGTCCTTCACAAACTTCTCCATCGTGAGTCCATCCCAAGGGCAACAATTCTGCACAGACTGTTGCCACGTGGGTCATTTTTTCACAGAGTGCAGTCCTTCAGGCACTGGCTGCTCTAGCATGGGTCCCCCACAGGGCCATGGGTCCAACCAGGAAAACCTACTCCAGTGTGGGCTTCTCTTTCCATGCGTCAGCAGGTCCCTGCTAGGACCCTACTCCAGTATGTGCCTCCCACAGGGTCACAGCCTCCTTTGGGCATCCACCTGCTCCAGCACGGGCTCCTCCATGGGCTGCAGGTGGATCTCTGCACTCCCATAGTCCTCCAAGGGCTGGAGCTGCTCCACCATGGTCTGTACCACGGGCTGCAGGGACCTCAGCTCCGACCCCTGGAGCACCTCCTGCCCCTCCTTCTGCACTGACCTTGGTGTCTGCAGAGTTGTTCCACTGTTCTCACTCCACTTTTCTCTGGCTGCACTTTTCATCTTCACAATAAGAGTTTTTTTCCTTCTTAAATATGTTATCACAGAAACATTACTATCATTCCTGATTAACTCAGCCTTGGCCAGCAGCGGGTCGGTCCCTGGAGCTGGCTGGCATTGGCTCTGCAGGACATGGGGGAAGATTCTGGCAGCTTCTCTTAGAAACCACCCCTGTAGCACCCCCCACTACCAAAACCAGGCCAGAGGAACCCAATACAGTAAGAAATGATATGCAAGACACTGGGTTTCAGACACAAGGACTTTGAACAGCATTGTATACAAATGCATGAAATTTGATTTTGGATGAACAAAAGCTCCTGCAACCAGGGGCCAAACAAATCTGCTTTGTGCACCACACAGTTATGAACTGAGTTGGCACCACTACAATAGACTTCACATATTTAAAGCCCATTTTTTAATTTGGGTATTAACATATTTAGGAGGTTGCCCTATTTCATATTTTCTGCTATTCATGTACAAATCTGATAGGCTTTTTGTATGGTCTTTGGGATACTTTTCAAAACAGTTATTTCTGAATGACTAATATGTCCTGTTTGCATTCTTATAATTTCCTCCTTCTGTAATATTTTCTGTGAAAATGTTGCCGCTTTCCTGTTAAGAGCTCTAAGCTTGTGCCATGTAATTCTAAAAAACTGGAATTTTTATCTTAGGCCTGCCATCTCCAGTATTGCTTCTATTAGGAGCCAAAGAAGCATGAAATGTGCTGTTTTGAAATGGAGTCTGACTGAAATGTCAAAAGAAAAATATCTAGTTGCAAGACAATGAGAGAAACATCTGAGATAAAACTTACTAATTTTATCCTAGAACACTCTTCTCAATGAAAAAGAATATCTGTTGTGAATAGATCAGCTTTAAGGTACAACAGCATCTGTGCCTGACTAAGAAAGTATTTCTGTTTCCTGTTATATATATCTGCTAAGTATTGAAAAGAGATAACCACCATCTCAGTATCTTGGAGTACAGTGGGCTGCATTCAGTATTCAAGCAGTACAGTTTCACATGAAGAAATTTCTTGCTAAAAAAAAAAAAAAGAAATCACTAAGACTTCACTTTATCAATTTACTATTGATTCATATTCCTTAGAAGAAACTCCGTGGTCTCTGTTTTAGTACAGTCATCTAATTCATATTTGCCACATTGTCACAATTGTGATTTGATGGTGCCTATGATCCAAGTTTTCTTGTTTAACCTAATCCTTGTGTAACCTAACTTAGTCTTTAGGTTGATATAAGGGTGATAATAACTTAGTTTAAATGTGGTAGCACGGTGGTCTTATCACTCATGTACTAGTTGTGTTATGAAGAGTTTTCTGTGCACAGCTGTGCCTTCTTCCAGTGTTCATCTTTAACTCCCCTGGTTTTAGAATATAGTTTCAGTTTTCTGTTTATGAAGAAATGGTCCATTGAAAGCAAAACAGGATTTAGCAATTTCTCTTCTAATTTCCTGTATTCTAAAGGCAGGAGTCTTCAAGAAAAGAGTCTTCATTATTAGCAATTATTCGAAACTGTTCAAAATACTTGCGGATCCTTTGATTATACCATAATTTCGTTAATAAGGAAAAAAATGCTAACAGAAAGCAATTACTTTTATGTTCAATACCTCTATTACAATGTCTATTATCTTTTTTGTTTTTCTTTATTCACAGGCTTATGATGAAGAAATGTATGGCAGCAAATATCTGTGGATTATTCCAGGGTGGTATGAAAACCTTTGGTGGGAATCCTGGATTAATTCCTCACAGTGTCTCAGTAAAAATCTTCTTGCAGCCATGGAAGGTTATATTGGAGTGGATTTTGAACCTCTCAGCTCAAAAACGTCAAAGACTATATCAGGAAGGGTTAGTATTTTTCCTCCATCTATTTTATTATACCATCAGCTATCTCACCAGTGCATTGGCACAATAAAGCACCAAGGAGGGAGGTGAAGCTAAATGATTCTTCTGTCAAGAGACCTGGCAATCATCGTGATTGGTCTCATCTTTTCACTGGTTTACAATTTTTACATATTTAAAAATTAATTCAGATTCTCTACAGGGTAAAAAAATGATAAAGTCCCTTACTTCAAATCTGTCCTCTTCCCCCTGTATGAACATTATAGCCAAATGTACATTAAAGCTTGAATTATAATTACAGTAAAGGGCTGTGTCACGTCAAGTTAAATGGTTGAGCACAGAAAAAGAAAACTTTTATATTTAAATTTATTCCTGCAAACAGCTAATTTCGATGGTGATTTGTGTCTTTCAGAACTAGGGGGCAGGAGGTGAGGCTTGTTTCTAACATATAAATATGTGGTATTTCCATAAAGCACATAACATTTGATTACAGAACAAATTCATACAAACTTTGACCAATAAATAAATATGCCTGATTTTGTTACTTTTCATATTTTTTTTTCCATTTGCCTTTCATGCCTTGCTGAGTTAGCATGAAGGACAACTTTACTGAAAGGCAACTCATTGTAAGAGAGCACACCATCAAGAATGTAGTGAACTTGTAAAACACAGACAAATTGCCACTCAGATAATTTCATATTAAGCAAAGTGTTGCGTAAGTAAAGGTTATTTAATTTGAATTATCCTATAAAGTGTAATCAGACCAATAATTTGTAGGGATACAGACCTAGTCTCTGTCCAAGTATTAAAGCTCACCAGTACACTGAAAGTTTTGATTGAACTGAAGCCTTTTGTACAAAAGCAAAATAAAGCAAGTTGTTCTTCATACAGTGAAGCAGCAGAGCTGCTTTCAGTCTCTCTGTCTTCTAGGTCTTTCTCCCAGTCTCACCAGCAGTTTTATAAGTCAGGCAGCACACGTTTTTTGAATTTTAAATTCTTTCCTAATTTTTGTTTTGGCGGCCATTTCTGTATTAGTCATGCATGTCCCTAAATAGGAAGGGTGCATCTTGAGGTGTTGGTTTGAATGCAACTCTGTAACGTGTTAAGCATTGGGTAAAACATTTTTTTCTCTTCTGCAGACTCCACAGCAGTATGAAAAGGAATACAATGCTAAGCGCGGTGATGGACAATCCAGCAAATTTCATGGTTATGCCTATGATGGAATATGGGTGATTGCCAAGACCCTACAGCGGGCAATGAAGTATCTGAATGCCACCACCAAGCACCAAAAAATTGAAGATTTTAATTACACAAATCACAAACTTGGCAAAATTTTTCTGGATGCTATGAATGAAACCAACTTCTTTGGAGTAACGGTAGGTCCAAATCAGATAATTGTGGGGTGGAGGAGGCTTGTGATTCAGTGTCAGTAGTTGAAACAAGCATTAAATATTAAGTACTCTTGAAAAAGAAACACAGATGTGTATTTCTTCTATCTTCAGAGCTTCCACAGTTTTACTTTATATTAAAAATTAATGTTGTTGCCTTGAGACTCTTGCTCATTACCTGTCTTCTGATGCCAAATGATGACACTGTACAATTCCTCGGTTATCAGATTTTTAAGCATGAATGTCGTTTGAATTAAGAGCTCAGAGTGGTCTCAAGGGAACCACAAGTATTACAAGATGCAGTGACCTAAGTGAATGTTTAGCAGTTAAGGAGTAGCTGGAATGGGTTCTGAAAATACATGTTTCCCTCCATTGTTAATTTTTGTTAATAGGTTATAGTACACTATCTCTAATTCCAGTGCTGTACATCCTAGATATTCTTGCAGCATACTTCAGTTGTGATTTAAATTTATTTATAATTTGTATTTCTCACAGTCAAGTATAAAGCATACTGGCTGTGCTGAAGAAGAACTGGTCGTTTACAGTAGTATCTTCATTCTGATATTAATCGCACGATTGCAAATCCATTGTAATTTTTAATTTATTTACATGATTTCATTTCTATTTATTTATTTATTTACATTCTTCATTATTAATTACTTTATTGTATCTGAGGCACCATCAGTTCAGGAGTTACTGGTGCATATGTGCTCAGAAGCCTGCAGAACTCACCAAGAGAGATGAGCAGACTCCCTTTCAGGGAGAATAGTCTTCAGAGTTTCCAAAAGCAGCAAAAAAGGAACTCACTGGAACATGTTTTGCTAAGCAGTGTACTTGGACTGCAACATGGCTAGATGAGGAAATCAATGTTTTAAAGAAATGTGTATTTCAGTGGTGCACAGCAGAGCAGCTCCTTCTAGCAAGAGCATGGAGAAGATTGGCAGTAACTGGTCACATCCTGTCCCCATGTTAATTTAAACTGTCTTGGATATCTATTAACCTCAAAACAGGTTGAAGTAGCAGAACTAATACTGTCAGACATGTCAGAAATTAGTTCAAGTAGGAAATACCTACATATAAACATCAATGAAGCATGAAGGCTCAAATTTTTTGTGTTCTTGTTAATTGTTGAAGAAGCCTTTGGCATAATGGTACAATTGAAACCAATTTAGGATTTATAAGCAAAAAAACAACCATATGGCAAGACAATAATAGTATCTAGTTGCTTGTACAATATGAGTTTTGCTTTCCTTTTACGCTAAATTTGACTGAAGGTTTCAAGAAAAGAATTTGCTTCCCATTGCATCCATAGTACGACTGGATATTTGATAAATAGTAGCTATGAACCAGACTCTACAGGGACTCAGATATACCTGTCCTGAGTTATTCCAAGTACAGCATTTATCAATAGGCTTGAAATTTCATATTGCTATGTTGTTCCTTTTTTGTTTGTTTGGCATTTTTTTTCTTCTCCTTGTCTTAGCCTTTTGACCTCCTACCAAGTTTTGCAGACAATTATGGTCACGTTGATAGATTTCATGAGCACTGCTTAATTGCGCTTTACTGCTCTCCCTCCAAAAAACCAACAAAACCAAACCCAAAATCTTTTAAGATTGAAAGAAACCTCTTTTTTTATCAGTTTCAGGGACACCAGCAAAACCTCACATGCATCCCTTTAGGGAGTGAATGAATCAAAGCTTAATCAACTATATTCAGCTATTTATTTGTCTTATTCTCGCAGGTATAATGATTTTCAAAGAAATTAGTGCATGATTATTCACTGTATTTAGTGCATTTCTGAGGTGCTTTGTAAAATATTTCTCTTTAACATTGCTCTACCAAGTCGTAATGACGATGCACAGCCCAAATTTAGTATTTACAAGGATCATGCTTCCTGTTCCCTTAATTCACAAAAGGATTTTAATGAGAAAGGTATGGAGAGAAGAAAATCTATAGCAGCTACACTTTCTTAGGACATAATTAGAACAAATGGTGCTCGGGTTTTTCCGGACAGCATAGAAAAAAGGTGGTTTAGAGGAAATATTAAATGTCTTGCATTGAAGTGTTCAGAAAGTTGAAGGAACAGATTGATTTGTACCAGAAATATTTTTAATCCTTTTATTCTTCATTCCAATAAATTGCTGTAATTTTTGACCTAATTTAAATTTTTCTCGGGAATGTAAGTTTTAAGTCTTGCAGCGCCAAATCTGATTTTTTTTCTTTCAGAAAATGTATTTTGATATAGAAATATATTCTAAACACAGAAATTACATTCATTTTTTTCAAGAATGTCTATGCCAAATATAAAATGAGTTTCTGAAAAAAAGACATAAAAAGGACTAAATTTTATCAATATTCAAGAACTCATCCAATAATCTAATAAACCATGATGTTATTTATTAGGTAAGAGAAGGTAGACAAGAAACTGTAGCCAAGAATCTAAAAATGCAAAATCTATTAAGTAGAGGCGTCTTTCTTTATACTTTCTGTGAATATATCAGAAACACTGTTGTGTCATAAATAATAAATCCCTTTACGGAGTTTTAATTTTCTTTGAAATTATTTATAGCAAACCACACTGTTGAGTGGTGTGTTTTGTGGAATTTTAAAAATAATTTTGAAAATACTTGGTGGGATAAAGTGCACTCGTTCCTGATTATACAGAATATAATTCTTTCAGTTTTCTGGTTTTGTTTTTTTTTTTCTTTATTTTCTAGGAGGAAACGGTTAAGGCTATTGCCCAGAAACTTGACATGACTAATCCTATTTTTATGCATCAGAAATTCGGTGCATAAGTGTTATTTATTCTAATTCTGCTGTCAGAAATCTATTGGAAAGAAAATTATGGATATTCCTTAAATATTCCTTGGGATTCTGCTCTCTTTTTGTATTTTTTTTTAATAGCAAATTGATTCCTTCTGTCATTTTTCCTTTGTGTTTATCTGATTATCTGTGCATATCAAAGTCATGTTGATTACCGTATAGATTTCCTGTGTATTTTGAATACAGAGCAAGGAGACATAAATTTGGTGTTTTATCAGAAAATAGTAGTACAGTCATCTGCTACATTTTTCAAAGATAAACTGGGTACCGTTTTACAGGTACAAAAGGACTTTTTGATGAGAAATTAAATATGAACAAACAAAAGACCTGCAGGGATGTTCCCACAGTTTTGTTCATCTGAATGCTCTAATTCTGGAGTCAGATTCACTGGTGTTGTCTGTTTTCTTATGGAGTAAGGCATTGTGTGGTTAGAATGGTCCATCTGCAATGACCAGCTTTCAGAACTGGAGTTCTTTTGATTTGGGACTAGCTTGGTCTTCATGGTGTACATTTTTCTAATTCCTTGGTTAGCAGACCATTTAATTATTTATAAATGGGAAAGTTACCAAAATAAGAAAACACCTTAAAGGGTTTTGGACAGTATTTTTCCACTTTTCTTTATTCAGATAAAGACAGTTTTGTATACTAAATGCAACACTGCCACTCTAGTGGTTTATAAAGTGCAAGGTGACTGTTTCCTTGCTAAATATATCCCTCTTCTTAAAAAGTACACACTCTTTCTGATAACCTAAGAGTCAGAAAACGGAAGATAAGAAGTATTCAAACAATTTATTTTGACACAGTTCAAATGTTTGAGGAGTTCCCTCATATAGCTAGTAGAAGCACTGGAAGTAATCTAGAGCTGGAGGATCTACTGAGGTCTCTGTTACTACTTGTAATCAGTACAGAGTGATAAAGTGGTGGGAGACAAAATATATATCTGGGGTATGTATACATGTTCATTTCAATTATTCAGGAGTTTAGAACATGTTACCTATAACATGCTCATCAAGTACGTATGAAAACCAAAGGGAATTTTCCACAGAGGTAGAATAATTCTCCTACAGCAAGATTGTTTGTCTAAAGGATAATTAAAAAAAAAAGAGAAGAAGAAAAGTCAAACTTTGTGTAATACTACCATAGCTTGTAGGTTTAAAAATGAGTGAATAATTAGTGCTGGCTTCTCAGGATATCGAGTAATATTTAGTGTATACCTAATTGAAATCCATCTAGAGAACAGAAGGATTTTGTTTTAGTAATTTTTTTCCTTTTTTTTTTTCTCTTTGTAAAAACTATGGATGGCTACACAGTAACTTAAAATTACAGCAATGATGATATTTGTTAGCCAAAAAAAAAAAAAAAAAAAGGTTAGTTATACCTGGAAAGGTGTCATAGAATAGTTTGGGTTGAAAGGAACCTTAATGGTCATCTAGTTCCAATCCCCCTGCCATGGGCAGCCCCACCTTTCACTAGACAGGGGTGCTGAAAGCCCCACTAAACCTGGCTTTAAACACACTTCTTGGAATGGGACATCCACAGCTTCTCTGGGCAACCTGTTCCTCTGCCTCACCCCTCTCACAATAAAGAATGTGTTCCTAATATGTTATCTTAACCTGCCCTCTTGAAGTTTGAATCCTTTCCTGCTTGTCCCATCACTACATCCCCTTATGAATAGTCCCTCTCCAGTTTTCTTGCAGGTTCCCTGTAGCTACTGAAAGGCTGGCGTATTAAATACCTGATTTTTTCTCAGAATGGTAAAAATTTGTATTGGTTCCATGGGGTAGCCAGGTAGTGGGAAAAATACAGTGCATGTTGGAGGTAATTTTTAATTCCTTCTTTATGCAAAACATGTCATTACCTTTGAAAAATACTTTTCTCTAATTTTCTTTTTGTTTCACCTTTGTCACCTAAGTCATGAATGTTACCATTCTTGCTGTTTTATGCCTGAAGTTTTATAACTGTTGCAGTGGGATTTTCTGCTCCTTGCATTTATTGCTATTGTCTACTATTATAAATCAGGTTTCAAATTTGTTAATTTATTTCTCGTCCTTATGACCTTCTTTTTTTTTTTTTTTTCTGTGCAATGGAAAAAGAATTGCAGTGGAGGAGAGAGAAAATTAAATAGTGTTGTCTTTTCTTTTTATGTGAGCCAAAGACTCTAGCAG